TTCTCTGATGCCTGTGCGAGAGTGAAATGATGAAAATATCCCGGGGAAATTTCCACCAGTGCAAGAAAGATACCGCCATAAATTTCGATAGAGTCTCCATTAATTCATGGGAGATTCAAATTGCTGAATTTTGAGAAAATAACTGAACCACACATATACACAATTTAACTGGGCGAAGCTTTCATCCATCTGTAAACTCACGCGGATGGTTGAAAAGGGATGAAGATTCGTCCCACCATCAATAAAGTTGCCTTGAAAGCCAAATTTTCTCACCAATCTATTCTTGCGAGAGAGCGAAAATTATGTCTTGTACATTATTATTGCAAAAAAATTTCAATCTCAAACTCAACTCAATCTTACATGGATTCTCCACACACAGAGAGATTCTGCATACATAGTCGCTTTGTACATATATATGCCAAAAAAGATGATGAATCGACGCCAAATCTGATGCGCGCGGAAGTTACAAAGTCTAAATAATAAATGGATTTAATATTGAGAGTGAAATATTAACTATAAGAGACCAATAACAAAGTGCGCTCTCGGAGTGTTGTCAGAATTGATTGCCAACAGCGCGAAATTTTTAGTCAAAACAAATTCATCGCACTGCTGAATTACATATTTATTAAAAAGTTCGCTCTTCCTGGTGTTTTTCCCTCTGTGCACAGCATCTTTTTATCGGCCACTTCACAGAGTTTAATAACAATTTTTTCTGACACACCACCCCTCTGTCCACTCCCCACAACCACCCCTCCAACCAACCAGTCCACACGCCTCACCAGAGCTTTCTCACACTGGAAGTTGCGCACAAAGAAAATGCCCCCAAAACAAAATACACGCGCCACGGCAAAAACTCCCAAGTCTCCGCAAACAGAGAAACGAGACCGAAAGTGTCAAGATGTGGGGAAAAAGTAAAAATAACCACCCTCGTGTGGGATGATTAGAGTGAGAGAGAGAGAGACTTCTGCAGGGAAGAAAAAAGCAGCTGACAAAAAGTTCTCCCTGGAATGTGATAATTGATTCGCCTTCAATATAGATTATCAGTGATATTTGGGGAATAATTAGTGACTAGATATTTTGCACACGTACGCAATTGCGACCCTCTCGACACACACACGAGACACCCTCGCATGTGGCGCTCGTCCCACAGCGCCAATTTGCCTACATTTATGCCATTAATTTGGAATTAAAATTTTATCAAATTAATTTCTCCCGCTCGCACCTTATCGCACACCATCGCGCGATGAAAAGCCTCAAGAGCACAGCGTGAGAGTGAGTGAATGTATTAGCAATTTTGACAACATTCCGGGCGTATCAATTGAGTCTGTGCGTCCTCTGAGAACTCCGCACATAGTGTTAGTTTCACCAGAGCCTGTCGCAGCTCATTTACCGCCAAAGGAAGGCAAGTTTGAAGCTTTGACCGAGTTTGCTAATAGGGTTTTAAGCATGTTTCGGAAATGTTGGAGGTAAAGCGGGCCTTTTTCCCGCTGAAGTTCATTGGGAGATAAATTGTAGGGGATAGTGGAGCAACTTGAGATGGTGTAGTATGAGTGGGAAAATAGCTGAGGCATATTAAAACGACTAATTTTCATAAATAGAATCAGAACAGAGCGTTTTTGGCATGAAATTGAATCGAAATTGCATTGATAAAAGTTTAAATCTAATTTTGAAGCTCAAATTGAACCATTTTTTCTCTTTAGTTTATTTCTAATTTCTATGAATGCAAATAAAATGAGAAAAAAACAGTTCAAAAGGATGTTAAATTGACATTTCACAGAATTATAGTGCTTTTATTGAACTTTTAAACGTGTCAAGAACCATATATAAAATGCATCTTTGAACCATGTGCAACTTCTGTTCTACAGCTTTAACTTTGCCATGCACTTTAGGCATGGAAGGCACGAATTTGGGTGAATTGATGGTGTGCAAAATTGGTCTTCTGTCCTTTCCCAGAATGGCAAGAGAGATTGCACCTGAGCAATGAGCAGTAATTGCATTTGCACCAACACTTTTATTTCGCTTGAAACTGGTTGCAGAGACTCGTCAATTATTTCAGTAGTGCGCGAGCAAAGTGTATGATTTAAATTGATACGGAGATTACAATGTACATAGCGGAGAACCAGTTGAGTGAGTGTCTCGCCGTGGTTTTCTTTTTCACTCCGCCAGGGTCGATTCCTTGTGCTGATGCAATGACTCGTGAGCCTCGTGAGGATGGAGGAGAGTGTTTGTGGGATGAGCTGAAGGAGTTACGATCTTCCCAAGTTGGTTGTTGGAGGTGGAAAAAGTGAGAGAGAGAGATGCTGGAGGACGAGTAACCGAAAAACTTTTCTCAATTTTATGTCGTTTGTGTTTGATGGCGAGGAGAGAATCGTAAGAAGAATTAATGTCCATTGTCAGTGTGTCTCCGTGGAGTATATTGCGACGTAAGGATGTTTATTGGGCGACAGAGGAGTGGGTGGGGGTGGTGGTGGTGGAAAAAAGGAGCAGTGTGTAGTTGAAGGGTAATCCAGAGATATTGTGAATTGCCTTTTATATTTTATTCCCATTTCATCCCTCGAACCATCATCGGCTGTTCAGGCGACAGAAGCAGAAGAAGAATCGCTGGAGAGAAGAGATTATATTTCGGGTGAGGGTTTGGAGGGCAACATTTGATCTCCACTCGTCACCCACATGATGACGACAGAATGCTTTGCCAATTGTGGATGTCTTGGCGTCGCGCGCGCGACGGAGAGAGAAATAATTTAACGATTTCGGCCCTGATTTGCTTCATTTTATGGGAAGTCGCATTATATCTCCGGTTTTTGCCATCACATTTTTCTTATTTCTCCATTTTTCGCTCATTCACTGGCGCGCTGGAAGGTACAATAAAACACGACTAGTCTGTCGGTAGAATGATGTAATTCTTGAAGGCACATTCATCACCATTCGCATAAGCTGATGCTCAGGTCTTTTCTCTTCGTTTTGCTCCCGGTGACAATGTGTGCGGCTGGTGTATATACCTTTGAGCTTTAAGTACACCTTTCTCCACATATATATCGTCGTGTGTGTTGTATCTGAGACGCCTATATGGCCTCGAGGACGTGGCAACTCTTGCACGATACGGCATTTCCTTCTATTTTTCCCCATTGCGACAGGAGCTCATCTCAAGTACCAATAAACTGTCACACGGCACAAACCGTTGAAATTGCATAAAACTTTAAGTGATGCTGGCTGATAGGCGAGCACTCGATATCATAGAGATGATTGATTGAGACAGAAGGGGGGTGGATAGAATTTTACTTTCCATCACCTGCTTCGTGATAGTGTTTGGGTGGAAAATGGAAATTTTATGGCAGATTTTCACACGAAACACTTTCACAACAGCCACAACGTTGGTGGTTTTGCTCTTTAATCCTTTCAAGTCATCATTCATAACACACACGTGAAATTTCTTCGGGGCCTTTGCATAAGTTAACTCTATGAAATCAATCAAAAACATCTCACATCGCAAGTTATCTGAACTGGTTCTTGCATTGCATATTTTACAACTATCTTAGTGGTTTAATGCGGGTAAAAATAGCCATCAAGAGCGATCTCTCGTGATACCAAAGCGACGTTGGCGATAAAAATGTGTGTTCAATTACTTTGCTCGCAAAGTTGCTGCTCACTTCTTGATCTCCCTCACGCATTTTCATCTTGTCTGACACTCTCAACGGTGAAATGAGATAAAAATTTAAATAATTGAATGAGTGTATCTCAATTTTAACGCATGTTTCCAGCATTTTTCATCTTCTTCTTCCGTGTGGTATTCTTTTTCTTGTTGGTGATGGTGGTGGAGGAAAAACCCACCCTTTTGTGCCCCCCCTATGCTTAGAAGAAGCTTTTGGTGAGAAGAAAGACACCCATTCTTCATGTGCTTTCCAATGATGCGCCGCTCTTCGTGCGGGAAGGCTTCTTTTCATCACACTTCATCTATTTTTCATGACAATTGGAGAGAAAAAAAGGGGGTGAAGAGATATAGAAAAAGCATCACACCATGAATTTTTTCCCACTTTCTTCTTCACTGTGCTTTTCTGGGGTTATATATGTATATGCGTGTGTGCGTGAATAGGTAACAATGCGGGGTGAACATAACGCAAGTTCTCCAAAATTGTGTATAATGTTTTGTCAAGCTTAGTGGAAAAGTTGTATTGGATGTTTTGTGTGTTATTAATGTGTTGTGTGATTCCCCTAAACTCTTCGTCTTTCTCTCGCATGGAATGACAACTCTTGTTTGGGTAAATGTCGGGGCATACAGCATCGCAATCACCCTCAAATATGATGTTCTTTCAACCCCAAAATGCTCTAGAGAAGCATTGCGAGATGAGAGATTCAGTGGATGGCGCGCGTTTTTCTCGCACTCGCGCATTCCACGGTGACACATTTTGGTGGCGGCTTCTGGGTGGCATTACTGGATTCAGTGGGACAGATACTCGGGTATATTTTGACGATTTTCCCTCTCTCTGGAGATTGAGCACACACACTCTCTCTCGCTCTCTTGCTCTGAGAGCATTCAGCGCGCATTATTTCCGTCTATTTCGCGCAATATCCCAGCATCAAGTTCCCAACAGTGGTTGTTCGTTCTCTTCCAACATCCAAGCGAACTTGCACAGTTGGAGAGTCAGACTCCACTGGTTCAGATGTCAGTTAAGCTTTCTTCTCGGCTCTGTGAAGACGTGTCCTCAAGGAGGTGCAAGAGATTCAGCGCGAAAGCAACGCTGCGAGATAACTTCGTGTGTGGATTTTTCCTCAATTTCGCGATCTTTTGTGCCATTGTCGTGATTTTCTGAATTGTGCAGATCAACAGTGTTTTTATTGCTATGGATTTGTCATGTGAAGATACACTTGTTTTCTCTTCATCTTGCAAAGGAGACAAAGTGACACACTTGGTGGCATTTTTCCCATCTTAAATGGCAAGAGAGGTTTCTTGTGTTGAATGTGTGTGCAATCAATTAAATTTTTGAGATATAGAGAAAATCCAATTGTACAGCACAAGATTCTGTGATTTGGAGAGCCTTTTTTTCTCTTCTACCCTCCCTTGTACATGAGTTTATCTTCCCCCTTTATCTTGCCTATTTCATCTCTCTCTCTTGGTGGAAAATAGATTTTCCATGTGTACAGCTTTCCCGCCGCTCAAGAAGCTCGAATCCGCGCGCGTAGAGAGGATTTTCTTAAGGATATTTTCCGTGTCCTATTATAGCATTTTGAAGATCTCTTTTTTATTTTTTCTTGATATTAAAATTGTGTTGTACGGGGCGAACAAGCAAAAGTCCCTTTCGCACTCGTTCTCATTTTGCCATACTTTTATGATCCGGCACGTCTGCTGAATACTAAAAGTCCTCATTTTCGAAACAGCACAAGGGCGCGCACACTGAAAGAAAAGCACACCAAGAGATATAAAATCTTATTGATTTGAATATTATAGAGGGAAGGACGCGGGCAATAAAAGCGTGGAAGGAGGCAAAAGAGTGCCAAAGACACCAGTGAAGAGTGACAATTTTCAGTGTGTTTTTTGTGACGAGAAAAGAACACGCAGAAAGAAAGGAACAAGAGACGTAATTGTGTGATTGTTGATGAAATATAATTTTTCATAACAATTTGTTCATCAGAAAAGAGCGTCTGTAATATTGGTGGTGGCAGAAAGAGGACACTTTTCACCCCACAGAGATATTGTATTTTATAGTTTATTTTCTCCCCCGAAACAACGAGCGCGTGATTCATTGTGTCTTTCCAGCAAATCAAACACAATAAATTTTAAAACAAGTTGAGCCTAGAATCTCGGGCAATATCTGTGAATATAAATTTGGTGGAAAACATGGAAAAGTTGTACTATATGCTCACTTGGACTGTGCTATTTGTTTGCATTATTTATGTAAATTCAGCCATACCGCAGCAGCAGCTGGAGGGCAAAGTTAAAGGTAAAAAAAAGGAGTCGACATTTTATTATGCACTCTGTCACATACACAAATTATATTGACTTTGGGGAATGTCCAGGGGGGGGAAAAAAAGCTGCGGGATGCTTTCGAGGGGCTCCTCAGTGTCACAATCACTGTCCACTTGAGAGTGATTTATCACCCCATGAGCTTGCATTTATTGCCACGACGCAGCGATGCAAGATATCGCATTCAATGGATGATTGAGCAGTTTGATGGCGTTTTGATTGTAAAAAAGTCCTTGAGAGGAGCTTTTCTGCCAAACTCCCAGAAATCTCTGTCATTTGCTTTCTATCTATGGGGAAAAGGAAAGTCTTTTGTTCAGTGATTCACTCTCTCTTTGTGCCAATGTCGCTGTCAAGGCGCCTTTAACAGCTTTTCAATTGATAGAGTATAGAAACACACAGTGGGAATCTTGCTCAAATAATTTCATATAATTTAATGGCAGCGCCCTATAAAAATCCATTGAATTGCACAACGTGTCGTATTGGTTTAATCACAATAGCTCTCTCTGTGTGGCCATGGGGGGATGTATGGGATAGAGGGTTGAAGTGGAGAGGAATAATATTAACTTTTATCATTGTTAGTTTTATGACACTGGGTGGAAATTGTCCCTTTTGGGACTGTATGGAGTGTGTGTGTGTGGTGCTCGTATCGTTGGTACATCGCACATGATATGTTTGTTGGGTGTAGGAATGTGATATGGAGAAAGCGGAAGGAGGAAATAAGGACCTTCATCCAATGTCTTTGCGTTAACATTGAAAATTTCCAAGCATCGCGTTGTGTCTTCTCGGTCATTTTGCACGAACAAGCATTGGTTTGGGAGGCATGATGTGGAAATATGGGCCAGTGGACCTTCTTCATGCTATCTCTGGGCGAGCCTGAAGTGGTGGTCACTGGTCACATCTTCCGGAAGGAAAGTTATCTCCCACCCACAGCTGCAGTATATATGGCTTTTTTGCTCCCGCCGGAGAGCTTTGTTTTTAAATGCGCAAGGCTCCACGAGGACTTGGCTGTGCTCTCATACATTTTCCAGAGGGGCTGAAGATAATATGTAACATCGTATATAGGGCATTGTGTAGCGAAGAACCTTCTTGTCCTGAGTAATGCTGAAGGAGCTCCACTTGGGCGAACTTTTCACGAGACATGGGAGAGAGTATTGACTTGAGGCAGAGCTGACGGAAATACAATGCAAAGTGTCTCCAGATGAAGATTAACTTGGGCATGTGGTCCAATTACGGAATTTGATATTCTAAGGGAGTGTCTTGAGTGTTGGGTGGAAAATGTCGGAGAAAGAAATATTTCGAGGGATTGCTTTTTGCCATTCGAGGAAAACCTACAAAAATTTCACAGGCACTTCGTGAGGTGGAAAACTCAACTTGAAAGGAAAGGATTTCTGAGTTTCTGCTTCAAGTTGAGCTAGCGAGAATTCTGACTTTGTTCATTGAATTCCGGGATGTAAAGTGATAGAAGTGGTAATTGGTTACATTGAGGCTCCGCCCATTCAAATGTCCCGCCCACTTTAGAGATCTACTTGTGCGCAATCGTTCTAACTCTGGATTCTAGCAAATGCATTCATGCTCTAGGCATTGATGACCAAAGGCCTTGGCTATAAAGCTTCCTAAAGCCATGATCCTTTATCAAAGCCTCCCTACACAAACTCTGGGTGAAGAGATAGTAAAAGTACATGGGATTGAATGGATGACAGAGGAAAGTATCCGAGTGGAGTGGCGGCGCAAAGAGGAGCGAAAGCGCCGGTTTTGCTCCTCAGGGGTACATAGACAGCGTGTAGGGAGGACGTGGTGGGGCTAAAGGACTTTCTTGATAAATGGTTACTTGAATTTTGGCGAATTCTACGCGTGTTAGTAATACCGCCTCGCTCCAACAAATACCCCATTATACCCACAAATTACATAATGGGCCAGAAAGCATGTACACGAAGGACGGAGAGTACATGACTGGTGGTGAAGGGGGAGGGAAGGGAAATTCTTTTCTCCCATGGTCTATATATGGTCAAAAGTCAGTTATTTTCTCTTTTTCTCCCCTCGCCAACATTTCTTGTGCCACGTTAAAGTTTTTCGTGTGCTCCTTATCCTCATTTTCCACCCTCCCCCTCTAGTCGCTGAGTCGCCACACAAATATAGCCTCTGGGAGGGTGAATTCCGCAAAGAATGAAGCACCTCCAGAGAGGAATCTTCGGAAGGTGGCTGGCGAGGAGCGAAGGAGTGATGAGAAAAACGAGGAAATTTGTTGTTTTCATATATTTCAACTTGTATGCTCTGTGTTGAGGGTGTGTGTGTGTGTGGGTGCAAAAGACGAAAGGGGGTGAATTTTTCGTGTTGCTGTAATTTCTCGGGAAATGCGAAATAAAAATATTTGCAACTCGTGGGAATTTTATATATTGCACCAGTGGAAAACAAACTACTGCACTGAGATGCTTCCAGCGCTACTTTTACTCTACCTGTGCTCAATCAAGACATATATTAAGTTGCCGCCGTCGTCGTTTTATTGCATTTGCAGCTCATGTGTGCTCTGTGTTTGGGGGGTGGGTGGGCTGAGAGAGAGAGTGAGTGGGAGGTTTCTCTTGAGAGGAAAATTGTGGGCAAAAGCCAAGAATTTTACGACATTCGCTGTTTCTCCTTATTTTCTCTCTCATTTATTTGATTCAAAAGTTTTTGGCGAAATTCTCTCAAGTTAATTGAGCTAGTCGCTTTTGGGAGATTTATTTTGTGGACTTTTCCCAGTGCATCTTTTCTTCCCGCCCCCAGAAAAGTCAGTGATGCTTGTGTGTGCATATAAACTTTTCACGGGTTTCTAAGCGCAATCATGCAAAGACACTTTGACACGGAAAAGCTGTGCAAATTTCATCTCTGAGAAGTGTGGTGAATAAAGTTTCACTACTAACACATACTTAATTTTATTTCATTAGCATATCTTAATAGTTGAAAAATATCTCTCAAGATTATGTTGCGAGATTACATTGGCAAATCTGCGAGTTTTCCACCCAGACGGTGCGAAGTTGAGAGATGCCAGAAAAAATAACAGAAGAAGAAGAAAGAAGCAAATTTTCGAGGATAATTAGTATTCGTGTCGTGTGAGGAAAGTTTTAATTGTGTGCCAGTATCAGTTGATAAAAGTGAGATGAAAAATTCAAGTCATGAACTTCTGAATCCCAGGGTCAAATTGTCGCTACATTCTGATACTAAACTAGTTCAGCATATCTTAATGGCACAGCCAAGGGATGATAACTCATCGCAAGAGATGCACATTCAATGCGACAGATGGAAATCGTTTGAATTTATAATAATCTGAGGATATGACAAAGTCTTTTTCACCCGAATTTAATTAAATTCAACAGAGAGAAAAGCTTCTTTCAAGCTTTTATACCCAAAAACCCACTTTATTATCAAGCAAAAGTTTATTGAATAATTTTGTATGATTTCTACATAAGAATTTCTTTAAATTCTTCAACAGCTGAATATGGAATAATTGCAGTCAAAGAAAGAGACTTTTTTACAGTCAGTGGAAGAATAAATGGCACTCATTATCTCTGTGTTGATATTAAATGTAAAATTAATTAATATATTGAATAACGTGCACGTTTTCCCCTCGGAGAGAACAGCAAAGAAAGCAAGAGTGTTGCTGAAAACGTGATATGAAAGGCAAAAGACAATTCTGCAAAAAATATAATCTTTAATTTCCAGGCACTGAAATGCATAAACAATCACGTATCGTCTCTTGAAAGAAAAAAAAAAAGAGGGAAAAATATCAATATAATTTCAATTAAAAAGCCTCTCCGCGGGGAAAAAGCGAAAAAGGTTGTTTTATGGTGTGAATGTGAGTGATAGAGAGAGAAAATCAGAAGTGCGCGGCTTGAAAATTGATTTTCAATGGATTCTTTTTTTTGTGTGTGTGTTCTGAAAAGAGATTCGAATGAATTATATTCATTTTAATCCCCTGTTCGCACATGAAAAGTGTGTGACGAAAAAAAAAATGGTTTTACAACCAATAAAAAAATGATGGGAAACACGCGAATAGTGTAGGAAATATTGTCACGGTGCTGAAATGAAGGGAATTATGTTATTAAGTGAAAAGTGGGAATTCCCGGGGTTTTTCTGTGAATTGTTTTTTAGCCATATTGGCAAGGGTGAAAAACTCCTGTGTGGACTTAAAATGCATAGCATTTTATACCCATTGAAATGGGGATTTTTTGCACCCCAGCTAAAAATGCGAGGATAGTTTTTTCGGGCAGAAGTGTGATTATTTATTGACCTCTCTTCTTGATACTTGCAATCGAATGGCGATGAACGCCAAAATGTGCAATCAAGTGAATTGACCATTAAGGCTACATTGACCCATGCCGACATTTGCGCAATTTAAGTCACTTGATTAATTGTTTTTCCATTTTGCCAGCAATCTTCAGCCTTTTTGTTGCTGCCCAATGATAAAGTGTGATGTTAATGTGAATGTCTTCCTTTCTTTGCAGAAAACAATTGCACACAGGATAAATTCCGGTGCAAGAACGGTCGATGTATACCGAAACACTGGAAGTGTGATCAAGAGAGAGATTGCAGCGATGGATCAGACGAAGATCCGGATCTATGCCGTAAGACATTTTTTTCCCTTAGCAAAGCGTGTTTGTGTGCGGAGGCAGAAATAGAGACAACATTTGTGTTCCTTGATGTGGAAATTGCAAAATTGCTCTATAAAAGATGGTACGGAGGGAAAACTATGTATATATTGGAGAGATGGGAGGGAAATTATTGATTCAAATCAATTCTTCCTCCCTTCTGTGTTGAGCCTTTTTCTCCTTGACAATGTTCAACAATTCCATTTTACAATTTCCGCATTTTTGCAGTATGAGTGTGTTGTTTAAAAATTGTTCTCTATAGTGAATGGGATTTGAGTGGGTGAGAGCGAGAGAAGAGGTCACATTGTGTTCCATTAACATCGCAGTTGATGTAGAATTCCAATGTGCATCATTCAGCGAATGTAGGTTAAAACATAATGCTTTGGCGAAATCATTTGATCTCCCATTTCGTAATCTACTCGATGTTTTGCGATTTTTCTCCCTCTTCTGACAAAAAAAGCTGGAATTTCACATGAAAAGAGCTTTTAAACATTTTCGTTCAAAAAATTAATTAAAGAAGAAAATGTACAGTAAAAATTACTTTTAGATTATATATGTTGATTGAATTTGCACAAAACTGACCTGAAATAGTTCTATAAATTCATTTTCATGCTAATTTTGTTAAATAATAGCAAATACTGGCTTTATTTGCGATATCTAAACGATGCATTTCGATTGAGAAATTGTGTGTTTTTCATTAAGCTTTAAGCTTCTCTAAATCGGGTCACAATTTATGATCCCAGAGACAATGAAAACAGAGTTATGATTATTCAATGTTTCTCTTTTTGCACATGCTAAAATTCTGGTTTTGTTCAGTTTGATTAATACGATTATAATTGTGTTGAGCTTCTTGAAAAGCTCTTCGGAACATTACAAACTTGTCCCCAATCATTGCCAAAGACACTAGAGAGTACAATGTTCAATTGATGAGATGCAATTGATCTATTTTCCTTTCATTTACCACTGTATTATTATTGTATTGCACTGCGAATGGGACACATTGTGAGTGGTAGAAGAGAGTGGGCGTTGCGACGAAAAGAAGGCACTTGGCATAAGGACACGGAAGAGCACAAGAAGACGGAGACACTCAATGGATGATTATTTGAGCAAAGATGAGTTTTTTTTCCTTCTTTAAAAATTTTCCTAACATATATTTATCTTTTATTATGCTCTTTCAACATAAGTGAAGTGCCTTTTCCTGTCCTCGCCCACCTTTTCATGCAATCTTTCCCTCTCTTTCGCTCAATTCCAGGTTTTATAATGCCATGCAAAAAGCTCTATCTCTTTCAGCAAATGTTGATTTTATGCCATCGTCTTTTACCCTTGATTTTTTTTCCTCCTCTGCAATGTGTTTTTTTTTTGCGAATATAAATTGTGTTGCAAATGCTAATAGATCCCCATGGATGTGCGTCACATGAGTGGCTGTGTGAGGATGGGGAGAGATGTATTCCCAAGAAGTGGAAGTGCGACGGAGAATTGGATTGTGCAGATGGGTCAGATGAGGCGTGTGGTGGTAAGATGTGGTAACAAGTATCCAGAAATCCTCTGACCCACTCTCCAAAATTCGTGTGCGATACCTTCTCAGCATAATACCATATTTCACACTATCTTAACATCGCCGCCCCACTTTGTCTGTGCGAGTGGGAGTGTGGGGGTGCGCACAAACCGCCCACCAAAGTCTTGTCACTGCTTCCTGTTGATGCAGAGACGCACCGAGCATGAAAGGCGGCTCACAATAATCCATGGGGAATCAGCAAGTTCGACAGGGAGTGTGTACAAAGGCGATGGTGGCTCACATATGACGAATGTGATTCCCATTTCCATTTTGGTGGTAAATAAGGCATGAAGTGGGGTTTTGCACGTGATTGAATGTAAAATTATGTATGTTCTCTTTGGCTGCGGATAAGAGACAACGTCATCATTACTGAATATAATTTGGGATGTATGTTATGCTGTGCTGCTATGTTTCATCCCGAAAAATTTGCTACAATATACACCCAAAGAAAGCTCCACAGCTAATTTATCACCCAATTTATTGGGCTGTTCGCAAAGGAATGGAGAACAAAAGAGAGAGAGAGAAACAAAATTTGTGACTGCATCAAATTTCTTTAATGGATCGTCGCACGATGACTTCTTTTTTTATGACTGTGGCAAATCTCTCGTGAATCGCATTAAACAAATAGCCCAGCACTTGCTCAACTTCTAATCCAATCGAGTTTGTGAGTTTATTTGCTAATCCCGCCACGTGGAGTTACAGAGTCAGAAAGAGCTTTCACTCGGGGATTCTTGAGTTTCCAAAGCTCTCGCGCGCTCGTGCACTTGATATAATTGGAGAAGCGTTTGCACTGAAACATTTGTAAATTGCCTTGTGTGAGTTATAAATCCGAAATGTTCATTTGAAAATGGTGTAACATTGTTGCAAATTGTGCTACAATATGTAAACATTAAGTGGTTAAATTGTATTACATGGTTTTGTAAGATGTTTCGGGCATTTTAGATTTCAAAGTACATATATATGCGGGGAGTTAAGGCGGAGGCTAAGAAGTTTCTGTGTGTGTGAGAAGCTGCAGAGTGGAAAGCTAATTGTCAGAATTGTGGGAATGTTAGAAGAAATTGTGCACTTGTGCCCTAAACTTTTCAGAACAAATCTATATTCAATTCTCGTTTGAAAGATACATTGAGCATTGTCGATTTGTTTTACGCCATGGTAAAAATTTATCTGCTCTCTGGGTGGGGGAAAAAAAAAAAGTTCGTACAAGAGTAAAATATGATCGAGGATAGAAAGTTGAGCAAGGAAATGTGCTTTTACTTCTAACACTTTGCTGCACACTTGTGTGCAGAGAATTGTGAACTTCACGTTGCATAAATTTGAATGTGGTTTGGTTTTGAGAAATGCGATGCTCTAGTAGAACTTTGCGAACAAACCCAGGGAAAAGTGGAGTGTCATTTTCTCTCTATATAGGTTTACCATTTATAGACAATATTTCAGCATTTGGGTTATCATTGACATTTGTCTAACCATGTGTTTGTCTTTCCTGTTTGTCTCTTCTCATTTCAGAGGTGCATGTTTGCTCAGCAGATGAATTTACATGCAAGAACTCCACCACGGATTGCATACCATTGTCATGGATGTGCGATTTGAATCAAGATTGCTTCGATGGATCAGACGAAGCGGGATGCAGTAAGCAAACATAACCACTTAATCCTCCATCATCATTTGTTACCATCTCACCTGCTCACTCGTGGTCGATTCTCCTCTATTAACTTTCCCGCCAAATGACTGGGGCGTGTGTGTGTGAGTGTGCAAGCGGAGAAAAGGGGGTTTGGGGGGACAGCATGCACATAAATCACACATGGAGCTTTCATTACATGCCTGAAAATTCTCCTTGCGCGCCCTGTGGAATGTTTTTCGGTTCAGGGTTTGCTTTAGCATCTCTTCGCCTGTGCGTCGTTTGCGCCCAGAGACACACATACTGTGTTGTTGGTTTAAGAATTTGAAGGTTTTAAGCTCCCCGAAGGGAGTTTTGGTATCCATTTAATATGTGCGGGCAAGAGAAGCTCTCAAACAACATTAATGCATGGTACATCGCAATTTTTGGAGGATGGGACGAAACACACTGCCTTGCAATGCCGAAGCAAACATGGCAAAAGTGGAAGACGACGAAGAGAGGCATTAGTCTTTTAGCTTTAAGCCCGAGCACAGAGTCACAAAATACCCTCAGAAATATATGGGCGAAGCATCGCTCTTTGCGATGGGAGACTTGTTTGTGAATATACACAAACCGTAACACCTTGTCGAAAAACCGGGGCAGCTTCATCTTGGTGGGGTTATGAAAGCTTGAACACATAAATTATATAGGGTGGGAGAGGCAATTTTTGGGTAGGATTTCTTCTCAATGTCAATGGAATATATACAGAAGGAGGAGCTTTATTGATGAATTTCAAGGCATTCGAAACTGAGTTTTTTTTTCCACTATTTATTGACATTTTAACAGTATTTTTCTAAGATCCACTTCCTAAAGTGTAATAAAACACTGATCAAAAGAGATTCTCAGTGCAGTCAAGTGGTTTATGATGATGTATAAATAGCAGAAAAGCTTCCTCACTTTAGATCCAAATCAGATTATGTCATTTTTCAGTGCCACAGCATCGAGATTTATTTGAATTGTGCATGCATTGAAGGTGTCCAAAGGATGTCGTAGTGCTGTATGTGATTAAAATTCAGTTCGTATGGCTCTCTATACTCACACTCTCATCCGCATGTCCAGACTCTTCAAAATGTATTTCCCATTTATTTTCGGACGTACAATTTTCCGTGGCCGGGAAAAAGCTCTTCTCACCCCTTCAACTTGGATATTTTCCCCATATATCTCCGACTCAAATGTCTTTTAAATTGATATTGAATTCTATGCTGTGTGTGAGAGAGAGTTTTCTCTCCTCTCCAATCTGTATGGATGGTGGTTTGGGTATATCGGCAAGCGCCATTCGGTGTAGCGGCGAAGAATGTTTTGGGGCGATTGAGTAAATTTTTCATGTAACATTTCCATTCAATTTTTCACCATGATCAATTGATATGCTCAGTGAATTGATTGAGAATTGACATGAGCATCATTAATCCCATGCCGATGTTCACGAAATCGCGCGTAGACACAACAACACAAGACTTGGTTTTTCCATCTCATTTCATCTTTCAACTATCTCAAGCACTTGATGATTGACGCATAAATTGGCATATAAAATCTCCTGATTGCAATGTTTCAAACATATTTTATAACATTGTTGAGGGGGGGAAAAATGTGTTGAAAATATTTTATCAATGCGACGCATTCTTCTTGGCAAGATACCAAGAAAAATGGTGTGGAAGAGAAGAAGTGCTTTTATGCAATTCCAAGGATATTTCTATTCCAAATATTTGACATTGTGCTATCTCGCGTCTTTCCTTGAATTTTCTCTTCGCTTTTTCCCAGGGAAAATTGATTCAATATGAACATTCCATCGTCTCGATATGCTAGAGTATCTAAATTCAATAATTGATGGCAATTTGGCGAAAGGGTACCTCAGCTCTTTCTGTGTACATTGAAGCTTTATAGGAGGGAGAGTTTCTAAGTGTGCTCCTTGCCGAGGATAAATGACTTGTTTTTTTTCCACTCACTCTCTCCCTCTCTCTCCTGTGCCCCGGAGATGAGTCGCGCGATGGGAAAAAGGGCGGCATTTGGGTCAACTTAGTTAATATTCATTGAAACGCCATGCTTGTCGAAAATCCCACCCATTAATTTTGAGATTTATTGAAAATGTCTATAACGAAAAGGGATGGATGACATAAAATAAATAATATTAGATAGAGAGATGGGATAGCAATTAAAAGATGTCCTGGGGAACATGATGGCATTTTATTTTGTAATTGAAATCCCTCCCCAAAAGGGGGTGGGTGAGGTTTGAGGGTGAAATTGTGGCAATGCAATGTGCTGGGGAAAATTATGGTCACGAGCAAGAGAGAGAGCGAGAGGGTGAGAGGGAAAAGAGTGAGTGAGGAATTAATTGATATAAGTGAATTGTAGCGTAATTGGGCTAATGACCAATGTCGAGAGCGCTCAGTTGTATATCTCGACATCCTTTTATCTCTACTGCAGCCAAGAGAGCGGCGGCGGCGGCGGTAACTTTGTGGGTGGCCAAGAACACACATTCTCCAAATGGCCAATTAATGCAGATTTCATGAGAATTATGACCCTGACAAGATAGCGAAATATCAATGGGAGAAATTGAGCAAATTGCGCGACGGTGAATGCAAAGGTGCTTTCCTTAAGGCTTCGCCGAGGGTGTTGAGAGTTAAAAGCTTCCACTTAATATTCAACTAAAGTATCTGCGCGCTTCCAGCTCAACAAAAAAAAAAGTTAATACTTTATACCACTTGTTATCTCAATGTATGTCGGTGAATGTTGGTGGCATAACTTTCTTCTTCGAAATCATCGCGCAAAATTGTAGTTGAAAAGCTCTACTCATTTCACCACGTTTGCCACGGGTTTTTTTGTATCTTCACTCGCAAATTCAATTTCTGCCTCATTGCAAATTGACTAATGATGGCCTCATATTTTTTTTGGGGATAGCAACAGACGTGATTTCAAAATACATTTCCTGTCTGCCTTCCCGATCTTATATTTTTTTCCGTTCTTCTCTCTACGCCCACCGAAGAAATATGTACCATCGAAAGCTCCAAATGTAGAGAATGTGGGAAAAAGTTCAATATTGAGATATTTGTGGGTGCTCTCTGGTGAAAATTTCCATTTCCCCAGCATTATTTTCTCTCGTGTATCTATGGCAATTTGCGTAATCCACCTAGAAAATACAGTGTTCACCTTTTACCTTCGCGCTTCTTCACCTCATCCTTTTTCATCTCTCTTTCACTCTCGCTTGCGCGCTATTTTCCCGGGTATTTTCCCTCAGTGCTGTTGCTGAAGATTAAGCACGGAGCTTTTCTGTATGGTTTGTTTATCGATAAATTTCCGCATAATGTGGAATTACAGGCGCGGCAAAAGCTCCAACTTCGGTGGTCTAACATTGCGGATTTCAGGCTGCCAAACTGCATAATATCCGTTGTATCATTATTAATGCAAAATGACATCCTCTGTCCATGTGGGAAAACGATGTTTCTGACACATCCTTGTTTCCCGCTGAGAGGCAATCGTGATTGTCATTTTATTGTATGGTCAATTCATTGTGAATTTTCTCTCTTTATCACACGATGTTTTGTGGAGTGACTCAAAATATAAAAAAAAGGAGAGAGACTTGAAAAATGTCATTTTTTCCCCCAGCAAAAGTTGATTGATGTTTGATATGTTTAGTAATTATCATTGGATTCTTGACATTTCTGGGAATTTCCTGGCGGAATTGATATTCACATCACATTCAGTGTTGTTCAATTTGGGGAGATTTACATGGGAATTTAATATTCTGCTGAATTCCTCACAACTTTGTCGTTTAATTTTCCATGTGAAGATTTCTTATCTCGAGACGATGGAAATCACTCAATAATTGGAATTACTCCTTGCGCATTTCCATCGCAACATCGCTCGCAGAGCTGTTTCAAGCAATCAAGTCGGTATTAACAAGTGATTATTTGATTGACTCTAATTTGACGTCGTCACTTATTAAACTCGCTCAAGACGAAGGTGATTTGTTGAGGGAAGTTGTGTCTTTGCGAATTAAACTGATCATTATTTCAACTCACAGATAAAAATGTATGAAAAATCTTTAGGAATAATTAAATTCCGCGTAATTTTCTCTCTATCTTGTTATTGTCTATTTGTTTTACATTGTAAGCTCGCTTTTGAATAACGTCTGTAATGGAGCTTTTATGCAGAGTTTGTGGAAAAATCTAATTAAACCACTTCGTAGAAGAACAATTCAATGTGAGTGCATTGATGAAATAAGCAGGAAGAAGCTAATTATTCTCAACTCTGCATAATAATGCTCTCATTTCTTTCTGCGAAGATAAAGAATTCGCAATCCCTTAGAATGTGCAACAATAGCTTCTCCTCAGGACTATCAACATTGTTGGCATGTAGAAGAAAAATCTGTGTAGATTTTGTATCATTTCTCCCATTGTCTTGTCATATTGCATTTGCATGTGCAACAATGGTTTGGCACAAGAACTCCTCGCGGGCTCTGACTTGGGGGGGGCGGGAAAAAAAGTGAGCATATGAATCACAGAGTGACATTGAATGAAATGCAAATTGTATTCACTGTGCAGATGCACACAAAATGCCATTTATCCTCATGAAAAAACAGGAGGGTGTTTGAGAATGCTAAAAGAATTCTTCGAGAAATATAAACCGCAAAATTGCGAGAGTCTTTATGATGTTGATGGTTGGAAAATCACATTCACAAGGCGTGGGCGAAAGGATTCCGCTTATTCGCCTTCACTCTGGCTTTATTTATGACAATCACTCGCGAGAGACGACAAATTGTTTGTCACACAGTTCTCTCTCACTTCCCTCGCACTTGCTTTCGATTCTGGAGATTATGAGTGAAATTCAATTCACCCGTCAGCCTTCATATGCGTGTGTGTGTTTGTGTGGGTGGGAAGCTTTTCGTCATTAAACCCAATTCTCAGAGAATGCCAGGAATTGGCAATGGGACTCATTGTATAGTTGTGCAATGCACGCTGGGAAGGAATACAATTTA